TTCAAAAAAAACTAAAAGAACAAACTCCTGAATACTTTCAAAATGAATACAATTTGCACATTCAAAAATATTCAAGAGTGCTAGGTACTGATTATACTAATATAATTTGTACTGTATTCAACCCTCTCTCAACTTAGAAAGTAATGCATAAATTCCATCTTTAATTACACTTTAGAATGAGCCCCATTTTTTCCTACTTTAATAATTATTCTAAGATTCAGATCTTAATACAAAAGAAGTCATTGTTACTAACTTAGATTAAAGATAAGAATAAAGATTATGAAATGAATAAAATAGAACAAGAAATATTAAGGAAAGAATTACTGGCGAGGTCAATCCAAATAAAAGAAAATCTTTTGCTTGATAAAATTCGTAAATCAAATTTAGATTAACAAAATTATAGCCATACTTATGATAATGTAGCATTGCCAATGAATGATAATGATTCTCAAGTATCTAAATCAGCTTAAGATGAAAAATCTGTTAATATAATAAAATCCTTACAATAATAATATAACCCTGAACTTATCAAAGACATTTTGGAAGTCGATGATTCTATATCTTAGAAAATAAGTATTTAAGGAGAACAAAAACATAAAGAGAATTAAGAAGATTTAAAAATTGATATTAAAGACTTAAATTATGAAGAAGACAAAAAATATTTCCGATTGTCTGAGTGGAAAATATTGGAAAATCTTGACACAGTTATAACCCAACAAATTGAGTTTTGTATAGAGGGATATCATTCAATCTTCGGAAATAAAATTTAATTTAGCAATGACCTATAGGAAATCTTTATGATAATCTATGATACAGAAACCAACATTTATTATAATCACTTGACATTCAGATTGGATGATTTGAATGTAAAATTGGAATCTACTCAATTTGATTAATTTAAGCGTAACCAATCCTTTGCAAAAAGAAATTTTCAGAAAATTAAACTATCCAAAGGAAACTTATTTTAGCTAATAAAGCATTAAACTCAAGAACTTAATAATTCGCTGTAAGTTTATCTTTTAATTTATCAAAATATTAGCTTAATTTTAAGAAAGGACTCAATTATAATTATCAACTAAGCCAATGTTATCATTCAGTCCTCTATCCAATTTTCATCAAAAGATTCTTAAAATTAATGTAGGTTATCTGAAAATAATTTATTTACTTTACATAGATACTATTTTGAAATTGATGGTTCCATCATGGACGATTTAGCAAAGATTTAATGAATTAAATGATAGACTAATACTGATTATAGAAGTTGCTCCAATTCTTGACATTGATGACTATATTCAAGATTAGAATGTGGCTAATCGCATAAAGTATAAAACTTTAATAATTTCCTTTACGAAATTCATAAACAATTTGAAACTAGAATAAGAGCAGCAAGTAGATTTGATTAATCTAGCTCAGGAAGCCTATGAAATTTAAACATAAGTATATAAAGATCTCATTTTAGATAATGCTAAAATAAATTTAGAAGGACAACTACTTTTCTTGTTCTTTAAGAGTTAAATTCCATCTATTAAAACTAAATCTCTCTTCATTCAAAAATTAAAAAAAGATGAATCTGAATTAATAGGAGAATAAAAATTTCATGAAAAGCTACTTACATTTGAGCAAGATTTCAAATTAAGTTAAAACCTAGAGTTTGTTTCTAAGCCTTCTGTTACTTTTAAAAGTATCGTGCACAATTGTTTAATATCAGTAGACTTAGAAAAACTAACATCTAGCTAGGAAATTTTAATGCCTGAAAATTTCTTATTTAAAGATGGTAAATATACTACTATCAATTATGCAGACTAAAAATCTGGATCTACTAATTATGATCTATAAATGACTCATTTTTAAATACCAAACTTACAAAATAAGGCTGCTGGCTAATCTCATATTTAAATGTATGGTTCTTGCTATCTCAAAAGGTCCTTGGATGGCTCAAATTTATTTGAGAGTAAAATCTTTTAGATCTATTAATTTCAATGTAATGCACCACAAAAATCAACTAAAATTAATCTTTTCAAGATATACTTCATCAATCCATATTTTGTCACAATCTCAAACAATTAAATCATTCAAGTTTACTCATTCTACAATACTAAAGCTATCTTCAGATTAGATTGCAAAGAAAGTAAAATTATGTCTTTAATTTTTAATAGGAATAATCTCTGGCTTATAAATGTGCAGCGGTTCAATTAAAATGAAGAACTATTAGCATTTTAGACACAATAGTTTTGTATTTTTAAGCGAAGATGAGAATAAGTTTTTAAATTTAAATGTGATAAGACTCTCTAATTTACATTAGATATCTTAAAGAAATATATAAACATTCAAAATTCACTAAGATGAAGTTAATTTTAAAATCAATTTTAACAGAAGTAATTATTTTTTTAATAATCTATCATAGATGATATAATCTCTGCTAAGTTAATCTAGATAAATAATGATACATTTATTGGACTTTAACTTGCGGATCAAATTATAGTTCTGAAAACAGGATTTGAATCGAAAAATCCTTATGATGAATATTCGTAGAGATACACTACTTTACCATTTTAATGGATCGAAAATACTTTAAAAAAATAAGTGGGAATATTAATAATAGAAAAAGACAACAACTTTCACACAATTTAAACACTCAGCTTAAAAAACTAATCACAAGGAAACTCGAAGGGATAGAAATAAATTCACCATAAATTAAGCATCAAAATAGTTTAGTTTTAATTGCTGAATCAAAAATTAATAATTTTAGACGAGGAATCTAATCTTTAAACATATCATATCGACTTCTAGAAAATGAAAATATAACTTATCTAGGACTTAAAGATAATGTATCATATAAAGAAAAATCTTCATCTAAGACATCAAGCTTACGTTGTCTTTGAAAATTGTGTTTATATTCAAGATGAAGTTTACTATGGGATGCCAATCTCAAAAACTAAAGATGAATATTATAAATTTGAAAAGTAAAGGAATAGAAAAATATTCCAAGAAATTAATGAGATAGAAAAGAATGATTTTATTCCTCTCTTAAGCCATGACAAATCAAGGATGCTAATTTGGGGTAAAAATTTAAAACTTTTTTCTCCAATTTAAAAAAGAAGTTCTAGTAAAGAATAACTTAATAGTCTAAGGAGGATTTAAAACAAAGAAGAAGAAAAAATTCCTCATTTAATCAACGACACAGAATTCTTTCACTCATCCTTTAATGAAACGTTAGACTAAGAAGATTCTCTAAATTAAATGGAATTTGAATAGTAATCAAGCATAAAGTTAAATTAAATCTAAAGTAAAGAATATCAGTTTGTAGATTTTGCTCTTGTGAATTAGTAAACAATTCAACTTTGTCATTTTGATGATTTTTTGAAATAAAACAGCATATTTTCAACTATTACTCCATCAAACGACATACTTATACTTTTGATAGATCTAGAGATTATTATATTATCTAAAACAGGAGTATTTAAAAGAGTGAAATTTAATATGCAAGATCAGTAAATTAAAAGGTAAGGTTTAAAATACTCATAGTTCAAAATAAACTTAATCTCTAATCAAATGTGGGTCTTATTCACATCAAACGATAATTAAATGCTTTTATACCTAATTGATTAGTAGAATTCTTATGATGTGAGATTATGTAGTCAAATTTCTATCAGCTCTTTAAATAAGAATTAAAAAGTATAATTCTAAAAATTAAGACTAGATGATCTAGGAAATATCTTTTAACTTGTCATTTGTTATGAAAATGAAGAAAGCTAATCTATTAATATAATTATTAATTAGAATGGAAATGAAGAATTATAACTTAAATTTTAGCTATAAAAGCTCTTATATAAGGTAATTAAAAATCTTAAGGAGGAAATAGAATCTCCTTTAGAAGATTCAAGTAGATAGAGAGCTAAGTTTTCTTAATTAGGGTTCAAAAATATGACTGAAAATGCTATGAAAGAATCTTTAAATAACAAAAAATATGACCAAGCTTTCGAATACTTTTCATAACTCAAATTTGATTTCGAAATTTTACATCATCATTACATAGTGATTAAAATAGGATAAGAAATCTTTTATCTTAGGCTATTGAACGATTAAGGTTTGTATGTACCAGATAGAAAATTTAAAAGGATAAAAATTTAATTCAAAAATGATAGAATTTATTAGATTTTACAGACTTCTCAAGTAGATTTAATTTAATTTGTATATTTAAGGAATTCCTACTTCAATATTATTTTGTGGAATTTGAACTAAAATCATGAAGAAAAAATGCTTAAGATACCTCACAATTATGAAGTTAAAGAAGATTTTATCATTTAAAAAGGTATATCTGAGTTTTCTAACTATTATATTCCTTCTGATTCAAGCAAATTTTATGATTTAAGATATAACTTCGCATAAAATCATTTTAACTCTGAATTATCATATGACGAAGTAATACATATTAATATAGCTGATAGAAGATCAAAAGACCATAAAATGTTAAATTAAGCCTTAAATACTATGATAAATGATCTCTATAAAGTTGGAAGAGATCAGTCATTTATTTTAGGACTAACTTAATAAAAATAAACATCAATTCAACTTCCATATTAATTACAACAATTTCAATACATGCAATATCTCCTTAAGAAAATACTATTTGAAGTCGATTAAATTATCTTTGATTTTGTACATTATCGGTTGAGAAATGGAAATATGATCATTCAAATTTTCAATGATAATGAGACAATCCTAAATATCTTTTTAAATCAATTAAAAGCTGAAAACTTAGAGCATAATAATCCATTTTTGTTTTACAGTCTTTTGAAAAACAACTCAGGACAATCAGCTTTAATGTTAGCGATCGAATAAAAAAAAGAAAAATCTATCAACATAATGCTTGAAACATTAAGCTTAAGTAAAAATATTGATCTTTTGCAATATGCTAAGAAAAACTTTAGATTTCTAATTGAACTATAGAGCAAGGAATTCTATAAATTTTTAGATAACTGTACAGCAGAAATTATTGAAGATGTGTAGGCTAAATGGCAGATATAAAGTAAAGAAAAATATATTGATTCTAGATCTAGATTAATTTCATATTATCAAATCTAGAAAAGACTTAAGCTTTCAATGGAAGAAATAAGAAAAATTTAAGAATAAGAGATAGAAAATGATATAATAGCAACAATGGGTTAATAATACTAAACTGAAGGTCATTAAATAACTTATGCTTTTGAATCAGAAGAAGATTATATGTAGAACTAAATAAATACTGCCATTCTTGAAGAATCACCGGCAAAATTTGGAGATGAAAAATAATACACAAAAGTTATAATTAGAAATATACAATGCTTCTCGTATGACTTAGGCTGGGCCTTCAAAGATGGTTATGGCTAAGGATTAATGAGATATCTTTAGGATCAAAATTATGATTCAGATATTTTTCAATCTAAGACAATTAGAGTCATAATTAACTTTCAATGGAAGAAATTTAAAGGGCAGTACATTAGATGGCAATTTATTCCTTATATTCTTTACTTAATACTATTAACCCTTAGTTCATCTGTTTTAAACTGGGATCTAACTTCAGCTCTTAAGCATAAACAAGATACTAGATCTAATTACTTTGGTTTAATGAATGGAGTTCATTATGCATTTGTAGCCTTACTAATGATCCTCTGTTTATATTTTATAATCTTTGAAATCAAAAAGTCAGCAATATCAAAGACAAGCTTAAACTTTTTGTCCTTGATAATACATATTTTAATAACAATTTCTCAGATAATTAGATTAATTATTCCTGATGATAATGAAACTTTGCTTAATATTTATCATATTGTGCTATCGTACTTAGTTTTGCTAGCATATTACCAATTTATTTTGCAAATGAGAATTTTTGACATGTTTGCCCAAATGGTTAATATGCTTTATTATGTTTTTAAAGGAATTATACCATTATTCGTAATATTCTTTATTTTGATAATAGCATATGCAAATGCTTATTACATACTTTAAGCAACTTAAAACCCTAATGAGGCTTCAGAGAAATTTTTAGGAGAAAATGTTATTTATACGATATATTACACATTGTAGATTGCTCTTGGACAGGATATAGAGGAAAAAATAGGTAATATAAAGAAATATAAGATAGTCGTATACATTTATGTGCTATTTTAAAATCTTTTTGTAACAGTATTTTTTATTAATCTGCTAATTGCTTTGATGGGAGATATTTACTCTTAGATAATTTGTTCTTCTGAACTTGAAAGATTTCATTCCAAATGCAGATTAATAAGTGAAAATGAATATTTCTTCAGAAGAAAGAAATACTTTGATAAGACAAAATTTGTAATTCGAGTAAGACCAATACATATATCAAGATAATATCATGCAAACTTAAATATTGGATTGATAAATACAGTGGTGGGTAAAATTAAGAAGGAATTTAATCCCAAGCTAAATTAACAATAACTCGAATCTCACAAAGTCTAATAAGCGATTTCAATTCTGAATGAAAAATTAGATATCATTAGTGCAGAAAATGATCATCTTAAAAGTAAGTTTTCATCATTTTATCATTAATGCCTAATATAGACCTAGTTATAAATTCATAAGCTAGGAAAGAAAAATAAGATTAAAAATAATTCAAGTGAAATTAAGCCATATATTTTATGAAGTCTATATAAAATCTACTTATGATTTACTAAAACAATTTTAACTAATAATAATCTACTAAAATACTCACATATAAATATAGGGAAAGTGATTTGATGCAAAATTGGATTCTCATCGGTTATAAGATTAACCGAATACCTTACTTGTTAACTTTTATGATGCATACTAAGTGTTATAGTCTGTAAATTTCCCATTGTAAATAGACAAATTTATTTTCCTTGCTAAACTATTTTCCTTTGAATAGCTAAGTTATTGCTCTAATCTATTAATTTAAGTTGACTATTTTGATTTCATGCTAAATTTATCTCTGAATTCCCTAATGTTTTAATGCTTATTTCTTGAGCTGATTTTATTAGAATTTATATTCTGAATCAAATTGGGATCAAGAGTATATCTTTATTACTATTGATTTTAAGTGGAAGTTATTGTTTAATATGGCAGATTTGTCTAGATCTTTAGACGGGCTTTAGACTTAACTTTTGATTGTAATTAAAGTTAGGGGTTCTTTTTAATTCCTTATAGTTATACTTGTGCTTTCTTGTTAAAATCTAGATACTTTGATTTTTCAGATTAGTTAATTGTTTGGTAAAAAGTGTTTTTAGAATATTCTGTCTATAATTAGGATACCTACTGTTTACTGGAAATACTATCAAATCTATCAAGGAGTGTCATTCCTACAGAATCTAATCTTGTGGATTCCTATGGCTTGAAATATTGAAACTTGTAATTAAAGCTACTTTTGTTAGATGGCTAGACACTATCTTCAAGCAAGGTTTCACTAGGTTAATATTTTTTAAAACTTGTCGTAGCTCTTTCTGAATATACATTTTTACTCAGATCAGTAAAGTTTGTGGCATAGTTTGTCCCTTGGCTTTTTATGTCAATTTTAGATGCATCATTTGACTAAGGATTACTTTGATAGTTATTTTCTTGAATATTAATCTGAGGATTAAGAAATGATTTAAGGCTTATTTTTGCCTGGTTTGTTTGCTTCCTTTTCAATAGAGGTGGCTTATTCTGAATGCTATTAGTATCATCCTTAATAATTCCTTTGGCAATACTTTGTTTTCTCTATTCATTCTTTCTCATATCATTGATCTTCTCAAGTTAGGGCATCAAATTTTAAATTTCTCTCATTTTAATTGATAGCTCTTAATACAGTTGACTGGGATTCATAGATATTTAAGAGAGGCATGAAGCAGTTTCACATGGACTCATTTAATTCTATTTGCTAAGATAATCACTTCTTCTTCGATGAACTTCCTCTGGTGAAAAAACAAGTTTTTAAAAGGCCTCTGTAGTTACTTTCTTTTGGTTTACAAGATCTTTAGTTAATCTCTATAATATTTGATGATTATTTAAGATTTTTAAAACTTACCACAAAACTTCTGAATTAATCATCTAAGTTAGAACGACTGTCAGCAGATATATTATCAGACTTCATGAATCCACCTGCTGACAGTCTACTATTTCTTTCTGAATTTAAGCGATCTCTTTTCAAAAGCAGACTTTAATCCTTTTGTCGGGGCATTCTTAATGTTAACGAGTCTCTTTATGTGTTCGACTAATACTGCCTTACATCATCTCTTACACTTAATCTGCCACTTCTCAGATAATTGAAATCTCTGTTGATGTTAGGCGATAAAGTTTGTCTTGAGTTGATAAAATCTTTATGCTATCGTTCAAGAATTTGAGAATTATCAGTATGAAGTGGAGTATTCGACATATAGAATACATTTGAGGCTCCAAAAGATACACAGCCCAATTGAGAATTATTTAAGTTCTTAACACCTTTTTAGCACCCAATATTTTATTGTTATTGTATTTTATTTGCTTTAATTAATGAGTTAGCTCGATCAATACTTAATGAAATGGGATCTTAATGAGTCTTAGAATTTTTTTTAGTCCTTAAACTTTAAAACTAACAGTCTAATTTATTCTTTTTATTGCTTGCATGTCTTACCTGGCTATCAAGTATTCGAATATTCACCTCCTTTTTTATACCTACATCTTCATCATCGATATTGAGATCATCGAAACTATCCCTCAGCTAACTTATATCAATTGAAACCTATTTATTCTGTGTGATTTGCTTGAAACTATTTTATCTGAAGAAACTTCCCGTTTAAAACTTTCTAACTGGGGTGTTAACGATTGATTGGGGAGTCTGCTAGGGAAGTTATTATTGTGCAGAGTTGTAAACAAAGCTGCCCATTGATTAATCCTTAGTGGTTGATAATTGGAACCGTGATAAAAATCGAGTTATCATTAAAAAGATAATTTATTTAAAATTTAAACATAAACAAGCAAATAACGTATAGAGGGGTTTTGGGGTTTTGGGGAGATCGGAAGAGC